TGTACCGTAGTGTATGCTGCATGCTAGTATACGTCTTGTGGTTAGCCGGCGCTTTTGTTTAGTTAGCTCGAAGCGCTACTCGTTTGTCGCCGCCTTCAAGTTCATACGGGGCACGTACGTGAACGACGGTTTTCTCGCACTGTACCGCGGCAACTCAGCGACCATGGTCAGGGTGATGCCGTTCGCAGCCATCCAGTACTGCGCCCACGAGCAGTGGCGGCATGTCCTCGGCGTCGACAAGCAGAAGTAATTCAAGTAATATTGTGCTCTTTGTTGAAAGAGGTTAGCGTTTCTGCCGTCCCCCGAACAACGTTGGCGTTGAATCGACGTAATTGAAACGTAACTGGTGGCACGCCGTAGCCACCTCCCGACGAATGCGCACCTGAAAAGCACTTAGTTACAAATCCGTTGTGTTTTGTTTCCGGAGTTTCATTTAGCGGAGACGTACTGTGATGAACGAAAAATCTTATGCATGATGATCAAAGTGCTTTAGGTTCTGTAGCATACCCTACTAGTAGGGGTTCCTGAAGTTTTTGATGTTTTAAGAGTAGCCCCCTATTATGGTACCACTTACTGATTAGCGGGGGATGTGGAGGAGACAAGTTTATCAGAAGGTGCCATCAAGCAAATCCAAGATTTTGCGCTATCTTGTGGGACATGCATGTTCCTGTGAATGATACTCTAGCGTGTACCACTAATTCAGTAGAGGCATAACATCAAGCATTTCGAAAGAGCACGTTTTCTCATCATCCTCAGCACATCAGGAAGTCACCTTCCTAGTGACCAGGATCAATCTGAAATTTTGGCTGAACAGAAACATATGAGAAAACGTGAGGTACCAAAATCCGAGTTTACGAGGTTCAACAGACTCCTCCAGGCTTTGGTTCCAACATATGACGACCTACCGTTATGGGATGTTTTGTGTGGAATCATACCTCATCTCATCTTCCATGGCCGCTTCTCCTTTCGAGTTACGGAGGCAGACGCGTCAGACAGTGCTTCCAACGTTCCCGATCATGTGCCAGAGTTTGAGCTTCGGCAGAAGACAGCGGGAGTCGGGAACAGCATCCTTCCATATGTTTGCACCAGGTTAATCTTGGCCGTCTCCTGGGTCTTCTGCCGATCGGTTTGGCAAGATGCAGTTGCTTGGCCTTCTTTTCTGGAGGCATTCGCATCACATGCCCAAGCCATCGCAGCTGTGACTTCTCAATCTGGAGAAGCAAAGGCTGTAATCCAAGGTTCTTGCGGATGTCACTGTTCCCGACCATGTCGAGACGCGTAAGGCCAGCGACTCGTCTAAAAAAGCCCATTTCAGCAGCTTGTACCCGGGTTCAAAGCGTTTCAGTCATCGTCACTACTCATGACCGTAGGTAGACATGGGGATAAAGATCGAACACCGAGGGCTTAGTTTTCAGACTGACCTCTGCTTTAATCACAATGGTTCGGGCTACTTCACGCAGAACGCCACTGGCTACTCCAATTCGCCCTCGATCTCTTTCTCAGAATTTTCCATTACCAGTAAACACTACCCTAATGTACTTGAACTTTTCCACCTGCTCCACTGCCTCTCCGTTAATCTGAAGAGAGCAACGGGCAGGAGAACAAGACAGGCTCCAGGTATTTCGTTTTAGATGCGTTCACACTTATGCAGGTTACGTCGCACTTGGCTGCGAGCGCTGAAGATCAGTTTCAGAAGATGCTAATAAAACAAGGTCATCTGCAAACAGCAACTTTTTCGTCTTCACATTTACACCGATACACTCATTGCCTCGACAGTTCCTGACTATTCTATCCATGTACAACACAAACAGGAGAGGGCACAGGAGACCAGTGCCAACATTGAAAGGCGTTGACTTAACGCCA